TGCATTTGTCTGCCTCAGTTTCCCCACTGTGATGAGAATAGATTGAGCAGGGACAGGTTTGAGTAAATCCAGCTTTATTCATCTTGAGGCAAGGGTGTAGACACCCACACAGGATAGCCTTTTGCTCATTTCCTCCCTACCCATTCCAAGAAAACAGCTGAATGTTCTTTCATGGCAGACACATTCTTTTATAATATTATCAAATATATCATTAACATTTCTTTACAAAAAAATAGAGCCCATCACCTAGAAGTCTCTGGATGTTAGCCAAATCTTTCATATACACTACAAAGCATTTTCCAGTGGCCTGATATATCCACTTGTATGAAGATGTTATGGAGGTGTTTTAGAGAACTGCTAAGAGAACGTCTTCAGTGGGTCCCATTTCTGTTCTTCAGGTTTGCTAGTCTCTGACCTGTTCCACTTTGAAGAGAAAAAAGACCACATTAACACATTAAAGAACTGGCAACTCAGGTCATGCTGGCCTGTCTTCTAAAAATAATAATAATAATAATAATAAACTACCAAATGTAAGTATCCAACTCTGTCATAATCATAGGGCTGAGGGGAGGGGTGTCCATTATCAAGTTCCTGGAAAATGTGAAAAAAGCCAAATTTCCCAGGAAGAAAAGTTAGAGAAGTCAGGCCCTGGGACAGGGAAGCTTGAGGCAGATTAAAGCAGACAGTGTACTTTCCCATCCCACCTCTCCAGCTACATGAACAGGGAGGTAGCGCTCAGTAATTACTTCTTTGCTCTTGGAATTTATAGGTTCAAATAGCATTTGGTGAAAACACCCCAATAGGAAAGCTCGAGCCACCGTCCCACTTCACCAGCATCCACCTTCAAGACAGGTCTCCAGGCACATGCTCTTACACATGCGTTGCCATCCTTGATTCTTTGCAATAATTTTTTGGTCCATAAAGTTGAGAACATTCAGGAAGCACAAGAATTTCTACTGGAACACAGTATATATGCTCCTAAAAAACCCTGTGTTCTGAAGATTACACGTTAAATTAACAGGGTTTAATGTGGGTAGGTGGGAAGGGTTTTTTGAACGACCCACTTGAACTCTAACCAATTTCATAAGTAGAGCACTAAATATTACACATCAGAGGGCATAATTTGGATCCTCCAGCAAAGTTGGAGACTGCCACAGTGGATATTCACAATGTACAAAGACGAGAGTGAAGATGCTGGTAACTTTTAATTACAGGATGGGGGATGCTGAGACGATGCACAGAAGCAGAGCTCTGGGCCGGTGGATGTCATGAAGGTGTGGCAAGTGAAGCAACCTGCCAAGAGGCTGTAAGGTGGGGGATGAATCCATCTGGAGAGGGAGACCCAGGTGTAGGCATTCATTTTAATTTTCTCAAAATATGGCCAAAAGGGCTGCTGATGCTAATACAGCACCTAAGCCAAGCAAACCAAGCTCTTCCTCCTATTGAAGGTTATAATTCTACTCCAGCCTCTGCTGGCTCTCTTGCCTGGGAAACATCTCCCGTGAGCCAATTTGACCTTTGCATTATTCTGACACTATTCCTCTATTCACCAACCACGGATGAGGTTCAGTAATGCACTTCAGCACCACTGAGAACGGACTTCCCAGGCCAGGGCCACTGGGTGGACAGCCACGGCCCACTCTGAGGAAAAGCGAGGCCGAGAATACTGATGTTTTTTTAACTTTTTTTATTACACAGTAAAGAATACAACAATACCTGAATCATACTTTAAAGATTCACAGGTTGACAGACCATACATTACAGTCCAACTAAGGAAAAAAGGATAAACAAGAAACCACAGTTCAGACATAGTAGACTTCAAAGCTCAAGAGTATGCTGACAAAAGCATGATGCCTAGACCCCACCCCCCAGTGTTAGTCTACCATTAACTTGTGGTACATGTCTGAATTAAGTATTGCACAACAACTGTGATTTTTCACAATAATGTCGCAGAACCCAAAATAATATTTAAAAAAATTACTTCAAATCTGCATTTCAACAGTCTCCAATTTTTTTTTTTTTTCTGTCCCTTGAGGAATTCGGACAACATGGAGTCGCTTTCTTTCCCTAAGTATTCCAGAC